TCTTTAGAAGTTAAACAAACAAATCGCTTTATTTACTAAGCAAATATCAAGTGGAAGATGGACTACTGCGCTTAAGTGGCTTATTCTAATATAATCATGGATCTGCGTAAAAAATGTGATAAATTGACTGAGAATGTGAGAATGTGTACCCACCCATATATCTTGTAGAACATATACGAGTACAAAGAAAAGTCAAATGTAAATTTATTTTATCTGCAATTTATATCTTTCTACTTTTCACGTGCCATTCTATCTACGCGAGCTTTTACTTTTGGATTTACTATGAAGAGACGCTATTGTTTGTTCCGCAGATCGGAAGGAGGCGATACAAATTCTAAGCCAGAGTATGATATAAAACTGAGACACAAAGCAGTTCATTGCAAGCAAAAAATAATATTAAAAGTTTTAGCAAGTGAAAGTATGCAAAATATGTATTCAACGGTTAAAAATATTCAGCACTTGAATTCCAACACAATTTTTAAAAAGTCTCCAAACTCTACACTAAACAAATAACGTGTGAAAATGACATTAATACTATCACAACGTGAATAAAAATAGTTATATACATTTTGTACATGTTAAAAAAGTCTACAAACTCTACACCGGCTGGCTACACTGGATATAAAGAAGTTTTTGAATACACTTCAGTAAATTTGGCTGTGTCAGCCATCAACTATAGAAGCATTCGGCGGGTGAGTAGTACGTCAATAATTATGCAAATGTTGTCTACTTTCTGCACAAAATTATTTACAAGTGCTTGCCAATTAGCCACTTTATGAGGTGCGATATTTATTTGTATACGAAACGAATAAATAACAACAACCGCAAACTGTTCAATATTTTATGGCATAGCTAATTTTGCTAATTGTATAGTACAAGGCAGGTGATGTCGACGTAGCCAGTATAGATTTGTATTAATTAAATAATAATTAAATATCAGTTTGTATACATGCTTTTGTCCGTTTGAAACTAGTTCAGAACCAGTGAACTAGTTTAAAGAAACCTTTGAACTGAATTCAGGGAATAGACGACCACATTTCAACCTTTGCCCTTTAGAGCTTTGCTGTTAATATCTGTATATAAGAAGAGAAGTGAAAATTAGCCAGGTGTGTGACTTTTCTGCCAACAAGCGAGTCTAATGAACAATTCATTGTAATTATAACGCAATAATGACTACGAAATATTTCTCGCATTACTAAATTAAGAAGCGCAAATATTATTACGAAATTTACATTCATTCATACACAAGGCGTAGATTCTAAGAAGTCAAAGCTGACGCAGCCACGCAATCACCAAGCGGCTTAGAAGACTTTAATACCTACACGTAAAGCCACGATTTGTAATCGAATAGCCATTAGCGAATATATGAACAAATCAATAATGAGATGAATGAGTGGAGAATAAAAACAAATGTGTGGGTGTACAAAATGCGTGATAGAAAACAGGAGAGACAGCGCATGTGAAGCCCATTTCAGTAGAAAAAAGATGTGCGATCAGTTGTGAATGGACTAAAAAACAACGTCGGCTTACACTATGCTAAGGGACCCAACTGCCAAACTTTGCAAAGCTTAAACAAGATCAACAGAGCAACAAAATTTCCTAATCATAAATCAATTATATTCACTGAGCGACTTTTTTGCCCAAAGAAAAAAATTATCCAGAGAAGAGAACTTGAACTCATCTATCAGTAATATAGCTTTGTGTGTCGACCAAAACGTTCATACCGTCCAATTTCTCAATCTACATCGACGCATGAATTATTTCCCGCAAGTAGAAAAACTTAAGAAATCCACTGTTTGTAAAATTTTTATTACACACTTTGTTATTCATAGAGTATTAGGTGTTATTTATGAACAAAAAAAAGTTATTATTGTTTTGTTTACATTCACCCTTTTTTGACATTTAATGTGTTTATTTAGAAATATTTGAGTGTCAGTGGAAAAACAATGAGTGTAAACAAAATTTGCCGGCGATGACAAGTTCAGCAACATACCAAAGGCAATATACAATAGCTTCGCAGAATTCAAGTTAGCAAAAAAGAAAAAACAACAAACAAACATGGTCCATTTAAACTACAAACAAAAACCTGTTGAAGCGACGCCAACAAAATAAATAAGAACGTGCGCAGCATGAAGAAATACGCAAGAAAACAGATCAGTTACACTGCAAAACGCTCGCGGCGACTTTTAGACGGAAGTAGAGAGTGCGACCACTCTCTCGCAGCTCATGGCTTGCCGCTCTTTCACTCAGTACCTAAACTGAGCGTCTCTCTCACTCTCTGCATGCTCAACGTCACGCTTTTTGAGTCGGGGCTTTTTGAGCGCACAAAACCAGAATTGCAGTTGTAACTGCAAGGTTTTTACGCCACAACATTGAGCTGCAGCGTGATTTCTCAACTTGGACTTCCCGCCATTCAAGGCGTGCCTTTTCTAACGGTTTTTTACAAGGTTTTGGTGCAACTGTAGTTGACTCATTTGTGACAGTACATATTGAACAAATGTGGCACAAAGCATCGGGATCTCGAAATTATTTCTAAGATTTTTTTAAAAGCTATGTTTTGTTTTTTTTTGTT